ACATTTATTTCCTCGTTTATGTTTATTTGAGAGCGCTTGCAGAACTCCTTTAGAATTCGACAACCAGTTTCGCATCTCGAACCCGCCTTCACAATGGATGAAGTGAATGGTAGTATCTTCTGGAAACGTAGAGAGTTCTTATCTTTTAGGTAGTTTGCCAAAGGTGGGAAACACAATGCCCCAATCGTCATAACGGTCATGGCGTATACTTCGGGACGTCTGCCACTTTCGCCGTTTCGCCACAGGAACCTGCTGTGCTACCTGATCTTCCACTCTCACCCTAATTTGGTGAAACATTTCCCGAATATCTCCACAGCTAGCCACTCGAAACCTCAAGAGGACATCTACCAACGATCTTAGAAAATCGAGTCCTTTAGCTACTGCATCCCACACGATTCTCAATTTATTTTTGTTAAAGTTCTCAATTGTGAATCATGGACTAAACGAAGATTTGCAACCTTTTGATATTTGCTCGACATTTAGTTTTCTTATGTAATTCTTTTCTAGATAGTCATTTAACTTCCCAACAAGATACTGCTTCAGATCGGGGCTTTTTTCCATCTTCTTGTCCAGACATTGAAGACGGTTATATTCCATTCGATATGAGTCAGGCAAGTCAATGTGTTCATATTTCCACAAGAAGCCCGTTTAGTACAGGTGCAATCGTGGAGCAGAGTTTCGTCTGGCGGATAAGCCGACAGATCCTGACCATATACTGACCAACCTAGTTTGCAACGCGTAGCTATTAGATTGTCACCTTCAGTTTGACTCACCTCCACAGATACACAAACATAAGCCGTGTTGTCCAGCCTATTAATAATCGCGCGTTGCAGTCGGTGTATGGTAGAATAGGCAATGACTTCAGGGGTTTGTGCTCATTTAAAGTGTTTGCGTTGAGAGTTTGTTGCGGTAACTCGAGGTTAGTGATTGTTCGAATATTGTGCATATGATATCGCCTAGAGTTTCTCTCTCTTGCAGATATTTCACAGCTTAAAACCTTTGAGTTTATCTCCTGCCTCGCCCTGCCCTTTACCTCGAGACCTAGCTGCTCAGCCAATTTACTGTCAATTAATGTGCATGATGCTCCCTCATCAATCAACGAAAATATCTCCACTGTGGCTTTAGGACCATACATTATTACCGGAATGTAACTAAAAATGGCTCTCCTAAACTTACGTTGATGAATTCGGATTGTATTTACTCGACTAGTCTTAGCTGCAGCATTTTGCCTTTGTAGTAGTGGGTTTTGCACCATTCTACATCTATTTACTCCACAAACTTGCTTAGAGGTGCAGCGTCTAACCTTGTGGGACTTAAAGCATCGAATGCATATCCTTTTGTCCTTGATTAACTGTCAATGTTCATTTCTAGTTCTTTGCTAGGATGTTTGGACAATCGGCAAGATTGTGCTCTTTTCGCACAGAGAACAAGCTATGGAATGTAAAGAGGAAATTACGCGTTTTCGTTGGGCTAAGCTCCTTTGATATTTCGTCGTGCACGGAAATTCTTTGCCTATTCTTCTTCTTGATTGGCGTAGACACCGCTTACGCGATTATAGCCGAGTTAACAACGGCGCGCCAGTCGTTTCTTCTTTTCGCTACGTGGCGCCAATTAGATATTCCAAGTGAAGCCAGGTTCTTCTCCACTTGGTCCTTCCAACGGAGTGGA